AAGATATGACCCTCGTCGGGAACACAACAAGACAACATTTTAATTTTTTTATTTATAAATTTTTTTTATGTCAACAAGTACCAAATTTTATTAGGGTAGGGTGGGGCAAGAGGCCCAGGTGGGGTAAAAGGCCCATCCTGCAGTTATAAAGAACCTAGGTAAAATATTATAATTATTGTTTTGTAGTATGAATGATAAATGTGTAACAGTGTTGCGAGCGAATTTTGGTGAACTTTTAGTAGAAATATAATTTTTAACAGAATATTGAAGACTTGACAGGTAATAAGAATAGGACATTTTGATTTTTTGCGTAATTTTAAAATTTTTTTGTAGATTATTGTTAAACTTAGTTGATTATTTAAATGAGTTTATGTATTTGTAAGCGTACAAGTTATGTATTGATTATTTACATAACGTTCATTGTACCATAGAATAATATGTTTTTATCAATTTTTGCACCGACCATTTTGGGGCAAAAAGCCCAGTTTGTTAATGGGGCAAAAGGCCCATCCTGAGCTTTTTACCCCTTGCATTATTTAAGTAGAATGTTCAAATTTTAACTTTATTTTATTTATAGATATGGTTAGAAATTACAAAAGGAAGACAAAAAGAGGAAGTTATGGAGCAGAAGGTTTACAACGGGCTTTAGATTCAGTAAAAAATGGTATGTCTTTGCGTAAAGCTGAAAAAAGTTTTGGAGTTTCAAGGAAGACATTGAGAAGGCATTTGCAGGGCAAAGTAAGACAAGTTGGGAGCAATAAATTAGGAAATCATGTGAATACTTTTTCTATTGAAATTGAACAAGATCTTGTTAAACACATCCAAATGATGGAAAGAGCATTATTAGCTAGAAACGAAACAAGTGAACCTACGAATACAAATGAAGAAGCCGGCAATGCAGTGGATGATGAAGCATTGGTTAATGTGATGGAGACTGATAGGATTGCAACAGGAGATAGCAATGAGTCCGATGAAAATCAACTAGATAAAACAGCTGATCATCCTGGTTTATCCGAAGCATAGCAGATTATATCAGAACTAAGTCCTATTCTAAGGATAAAGAATGTACGCAGTCGCAAACGAAAAACCGAAGCAGCAACTGTAATAACTTCTAGTCCTTATAAAGCAATGTTAATTGAAGCAAATGCAAAGAAGACAAAACAGAACAAGCAAGTAGTAGTTGAAATTAATAATGAGGAAAATGATGAAGACGAAATCGATGTAATTGCAGACAAATCCAAGAGAACGAAAAGTGGAGATGACAAAAAAACCGGGAAAAGGATGTGTAGGTTCTGTTACTAACAGTGATGATACGTCATGTTGCATGTGTGGTAAAAGATTTAACGAACCACCCATTGATGACTGGCAGCAATGCCCAGAATGTCTCAACTGGTACCACGACGGCTGTGGTCCTGATGACACTGCTGTCTGCTTTCACTGCCAATAGGCATAATCAATTCAACTAGTCTTACTGTAGTTTTTTAGCTGTCTTTTTAGCTGTATGAATTAGTTTTTTAGCTGTCTTTTTGGGTTATGAATTATTTTTTTAGATATCTTTTTAGCTCTATGAATTAGTTTTTTTTTGCAACTTTTAAGCTCTATGAATTAGCTTTTAGCTGTGTTTTTCAGCTCTATAAATTAGTTTTTATAACTATCTTTTTAGTCTATAAATTTTTAGCTCTTTTTAGCTCTATTAATTTTACGGTGCTGTTTGCCATTGTCATATGATAGCATATATGGTGCTACTTGCTAATATTATGGTGCTAAGTGTTCTACTAAAACTTTTGTTGGACATTTTTACACACAAATATATTGTGGCTAGTAAAAAGTGTATTGTTGCAATAAATTTTTATTGTAAAAAAGGAATATTTCAAGCTATTAACGTTTGGGGTAAAAGGCCCAGGGTAGGGGCGTTTTGCCCCAGCAATGGGGCAAAAGGCCCACTCTATAGCAGTTTATAAATAGCATATTTCCATTAAAACTTGAGTAGCCATTAAGAAAATAACTTTAGATACTTAAGTTTATTATGTATCTGAAATAATGGTAACATAAATTTCTAGATACGTTTATTGGATCAGTAAAAAAAAGACGAAATTGCTTATGGTGGGCTTCTTGCCCCACCTTACCCTACATAAGATATATAAAATAAACGTTCATTTCCGGTATAAAGTATAATCCACATCGAAAACACAAGCTTGGAGGGCTGATTTTCCTTTCTGTTTGCTCCCTTAAATATGCATGTTTACCTTCCTTATCTGGGCAACAGTAAGAAGAAATTCTACTCCATAAGCCATTAGCAACAACTTGCACTACTTTTCCCGGAAAATGACTCCCTTTATACTCTACAACTACAAAGTCATCCGTTTTCAGCGTAATTAAATCTTTATTTGAAGAATATTTTTACCATTCAAAATCTTCAGCATCGCTTAGTTCAGGAGTAGAAATAGATGAGTCTAAATCAGACTTTTATACCGTTTCCTTTTCTTTAATTTTTGCTTACTTTTTTTCCCTTTCAGCTGCTCTTTCTTGTTTCAGTCTTTTTTTTTTCTGACTTTCTTTTGGATATACAATTGACCAGTTTCACCAGACATTATAGCGAGTATTCTTTCTTTTGGGTTTTTTTCTGTGGCTTTTTCTTACCAACAATAGGGGGACAGAATCTATATTTTTTAAACAGAGATGGTATAATTGACTGTCCAGCGATTGCAGTATCTTTATTTCTTTTAACTATGGGAAAAAGCCTTTTAAGTTCTAACTCAATTTTCTTCTACAACAGCAAAAGTGATCTGTCAGAAGGATCCCTTTCACAATTAATTAAAGATTACTCAAACAATTCTAGTTTTTCTTTCCCTATACTTTTATTTAAGAATTGCAAGCCCCGCTAAACATATTTTAAACGTGAATGTATTTCTTCATTTGGAACAGCATTCTGCACAGTAATGTTATTTTTATTTCCTTGAACCTTAAGTACGCATTGAATCCCAGGGATAGAATCTACACTTGCGGAAACCGTTAGCCAACACTAATTTTTTAGTTAGCCACGTTTTTTTTTAACAGTTTAGCAAAATCTTTTTTCTTCCAGATGGGGTCGTCTAAATGATTGCTGTGCCACTCATGAACATGTTGCTTCCAATTCTCTTTTAATTTGCGAAACAATATCTTTAGGTTTTAAAATTGGCGTAGCATTAGGATATATAGCCACCAAAATAATCCCATTTTGATTGCAGAACTGACTTGTTTGCATACTTAAATGGGAAACATGTCCATCGACAAATAAAATAACTGGAAAAGTTATTTTATGGTTAACCGGTTGAATGAAAAGAATTAAATCCACATTCATAAATAGAAACTTATTCTTTATCAGGTAATTTAAAAGAAAGAAAAATTGAAAAAAATAAAACTAAAAAACTAAGCAGAAAACTAATAATTAAATTCAATTTTATGAATTATTTCTTAAATGTTGAATAAATATTTTTTGTTTTCTTGAATTAGAATTATAAGTAGTTGTGAAAACGATTACTTCTATCATTTCTATTGATAAAATAATACTTATTAATATAAAATTTATAGAATATTTAGAATAAAAAAATAAAGCTAAATTATAAAAATTATGATAATTTATTAAATCAAAATATAAAAATCATTGTTTAAATGATAAGATAGAAATACATCTTTATTGATAATTTTTATTATCAACAAAGTTAAAATAATTAGAATGATAGGAATTATATTATTGGCATCTCCTTAGCAAATTGCGGAAGAAAACTCAAAAAAATAGGCAAGAGTATAGCACATTAACCTTGACAGTAAGCCCTTTTTATTCAAAGCTGTCAAATATTGGCCGCGTTTACATATGTACAACCAAATGGTTGAAGAGTATTTTCCCGGTTTTTTTCAGATTGTTTTTCCATAGTAGGGCTTATTTTAAAGGTTTTTCTTCTAAATGGTCAATAACTGGCACACGGTCAATTACACGGTCAATTACCTTACTTTACGTGGATCGTGATTTTTGTCGTGATTACTTCTTGATAGGACGCAAAAAGTTTTTAAAACTTGGTCAGTCGAGGTAGTATTCCACTTCGATTACAAAGATTAAAAAGCTTTTTCAAGATTACAAACTACATTTTGAAATAATTATACTATGAGACTGTACCACAATTTTAAACAATTTTTGACTTTGCACTTCCTCCAGCTACTCTATTATACTTCCTTGTTTGTAGCTATCGATATTACTACGATATATCCTTAGCTAAATATTGTAGGTTAACTGTTACAACATAAATACAAATCTGTAGCTAATTGATGCACAGTGATTGAATACAATCAAAAAGTTTCATTAGTTCTTAATTTATGAAAATCTGATATAAAAGTTTCTGGTTATGCAAGCCTGTTGCAAATGGACCTTATTTGGATTCTCTGGAAGAATTTTCTATTTAGACCATCTGACGCTTCTCCTCAGCTGTTCAAAAATTGTTATTTTTAGAGGAAAATTTATGCAGCAAAAAAGCAATAATTTTTAATATTTTTCTTATTTTTTAAACCACAGCTGGTAAATTTTCAGATATTATATATCAATCAAGAGAATATTTATCAGACTTTCAGATATTGCGGATTTTTAGTTAACAAATTTAATATGACATATTAATAGCTACATTTCGTAGCTTTGTAGCTAGCATATCTATAAATCAATTGGTATTCAATATCGCTAGCTAAAAGGCTGTATGGTGAATACAGCTTCATTCTTATTAAAGCGCTATGTATTAAGTTAGTTTACAAAACCGTCTGCGGCTATAGTAAGTAAATAAGGTATTAAAATGTAATAAAAATAGTATAGTAAATAATGTAAATGCAAATAAGTAATATATTATAATATAATATATTGCGAAGAGCTATAGCTAACAATCCTCGTAGCCATATTGCTGTCTTTATCGTATTAACTTTTATACGATAAATAAATTGTTGTTAAATTTTTTTATTTTATTATTTTTTGTAAGTTTTACCTTGCATGTTGTAAAATCATTCCGCTCGATAAATTTACTGTGGTAAATCGGTTTTCGACAGTTACGTAATGGAATTTAGAAGCTTTAGAATTAACTAACACTGTATCTGGCAACCATAAATCTTCTGCATTTTTCCCCACAATACTAATACATGAATTAGGACTGTTCGGCAAGACTCTAAACCTTTCGTCGTACCAAAGTTGAGAAAAGTAAAAATCAACATTATATTTCTAAAAAAATTGAAGTTATTTATTTTTATGTAACTTAACACAAACGTATATAATTTAACATTAACTCCAGTCCAAAAGCTTATATAATTACATTATATATATATATATATATATATATATATATATATATATATATATATATATATATATATATATATATATATATATATATATATATATATATATATATATATATATATATATATATGCTCACACACAAAAAAAAATCAAACCATTGAGCTCTCATCCAAATTATCAAAAGATAAAACACGAATATCCAAATCAACGTGAACCATACCTATGGATTTAAAATCATATTATTGCAACATGTTTTATTATTACAAAAAGGCGCCCAATGCCCACATAAAAATGTGATCGAATTAATTCATAATGTATCAATTTTTTTTATTAGAGTTGAATATTAAATCATAAATAAATTTAAAAACGCTCGTAACATTTATAATTGATTTTTATATTGTTTTAAGTTTCTACATGTTTAAGTTGGTTTAAGTCACCCCATTTTACTTTAAATGTAAACAAATGTTTTCTACAGAAATAATATTTTTACAAAGGTATATGTATCGTTGTTAAACTTAAAAATATTTAAATTTTACTCTTATTTTATTATAACATAAAAAAAAATGATAAACCTTCTGATGCCACAACAACATTAACAAAAACAATAACATTAAAAATAAAAAGACATCTTAAACAATATTAATGCTAAAGAATATTAAGCTTAACAGTTAATAATGCAATAACTCATGTGATAGTAACAGCAATTATGGAACTATAATGGAAATGATATCTATATTGAGTAACTAATAAATTTAAAACTTTGATTGTTTCCAAATATTATTTATACATTGAAACTTAAACACTGGACAACAAATTTCGCCAGATAAACTAGTTTATCTGGCGAAATTTGTTGTCCAGTGCATTGTTAGTTAACATAAACAACAGCAACACCATGTAAATCTTATGTTAACAAATTCCTTTCAACTTTGCTCTTACTAATGGAATGTTGTGTTAACTCCCTCATATGTCAAACTCCCTCATAAAGTTTAAAAAAGTAAAAGTTATTCAGCTCTGGTAAATAGAACTTCTGAGACAGAATCTGTTAAGTTTGATTTAAAATTTTAGTTTTTCAAATAAATCAAAAATGTATTTTTGTGTGTGTATATACACTGAAAGTAAATGATTTTGGGAGGCTCTAAAATATACTAGTATATTTTGAAAATTTATAAATAAATCTAGGATTACAACATACTGATTTGAGTGAGTGGTACAAAGAACAATGCTGCTTTGTCAATAAAGGTCGTTGAATGTATAAACTATGGCTGCGCTTATTCTTAATTATTATTAAATTATTCTTTCCCAACATTAGAGTTGTGAAACAATAAATTAAAGCAGTAAATTGTTTTGCAGTTTATTAAAACAATTTTTAAAATTATTATAATTACTCAAATTGAAAAAACAGCTATTTTTAATTTTTTAGAAACCTTTGGGCTTCACTATTTTATTGTAGTTTACCATAACTGATTGAAACGTGATTTCTGGAGGGATCCAATGGCTTTCATTGTTAAATATTTTGGAATCCCTATAAAGTAAAAAATATATAAATATGTATATACAATTAATTGAAATACTAAAAAAGATAAATATTGTTTTACGCAGTATACGACGCTATATTATATCAAGGCCACAAATTCAACTTATGTACAATCCATGAATTGTACATAAGTTTATATATAATGCTCAGAGGTTTTGTATAAATTCATAAAAACTAATAAACTTTAAATATAAAGAAAACAAAACTCACTTCATTGTAAACTGCGTACTAGACAATGTTTTGTTAGCCATGCTTAAACCAAAAGATATAAATACAAAAATATAATTTAAAGCAATTGGTGTGTAAATATTAGGTGTCATACCGATAGCATTAAAAATTTAATGAACTTTATAAAAAGGACGTGATGAACTTTTGATAAAGCATACAAGATAAGAATAACCAATCTTACTCAAACTCCACAAAAATTTTTTTAAATTTTACTTTGTCATACTTTAAGAGAATGGAAATACTAAATAAAATGGCTTTACTGACTGTTGATTAATATAAACACATCAATTTTTGCTTTTTAATTAATACCACGATAAATAAAATGTAACCGCCAATAAGATATGCAATTGAAAGTTTAAATATCAAATAAAAATTATTTTGCATATTCCAAACACTTTAAAACTCAACCTTTAAATAAAAAAATTCAAATTAAATTATTATAATCAATTTAGTTTTTATTAAAATACAAATGTTTTTTTTTAATAAAATTTTTCTTTATTGTTATCTATTTTTCATTGTTATTCATTATTCATATCGTCGTTAATCATTTTTAATTCTGAATTTATTTTATATAGATATATATACATATATACATATATATATATATATATATATATATATATATATATATATATATATATATATATATATATATATATATATATATATATATATATATATATATATACATATATATATATATATATATATATATATATATATATATATATATATATATATATATATATATATATATATATATATATATATATATATATATATATATGTATATGTATATATATATATATATATATATATATATATATATATATATATACATATATATATATATATATATATATATATATATATATATATATATATATATATATATATATATATATATATATATATATATATATATATATATATATATATATATATATGTATATATATATATATATATATATATATTTATATATATTTATATATATATATATATATATATATATATATATATATATATATATATATTTATATATATATATATATATATATATATATATATATATATATATATATATATATATATATATATATATATATATATATATATATATATATATATATATATATATATATATATATATATATATATATATATATAGGTTTCGTTGAAGAGTATTGAAATTTTGGGTTGTCTTTTGAATAAAGCCTCCTTCTATTAAAGTTGTGCCGACAGCGATTTGATAATATTTCTATTTTATAGTTTGCGTAACAACAGATCTTTTTTAATGGTTTATTTATTTCGTCAATTTATAAACATTTTACAATGTTCATTGCTACAAATTTCATATATAATATAAAATAATTACAGGAGGAAGTAGAAAAGAAAACCTGAACTTTAAACCCGTTCTCTATTTTTTACGGAAGTCTCCTGGAAATGTTTTTCGAGCATGCGCAAACAATGTCGTGTTGATACCCGGTGTTGCATTTGTATGATTATGAAAACTGGAAAAATTACATTTTTAAGTTTTAGCTTCCAGATATATAAGTGATATGTAATTTTTTCGTTAAAAAGTAATAAATAAAAAGTACAAAAAAAGTTTAACTTTCATATCAGATTTAGGGTCATTGCATAATTACGTATTGCATAATTACGTAGCGTCATAAATAGCCGTTTTTAAACAACTCACCAACCCTGTCACATTTTTTTTTTTTTTAATTTTTTTATTTATGTGCCCTAAAAAGTCCTTACGGTCTTAACACAGAGCACCACGGATAAGCATTTAATTTGAAGTTCACGCCTCCTTCCTAACCGATGTCGCAAAACTTGCCCAGAGGTGGGGTTGAACCATGGATCTTTTGTTTCTGAGGCAAGTGCTACCACTGCGCCACGGCTGCGCTACCACTGCGTCCCATCTGATAGCATTTCTAGACCAACCAAACTTTTTCCTCTAACTTGACGTTATTTTATTATTGTTCACGAGATTGGAGTGCATCACGAGATTGGAGTATTTTTTAAAAAAGTTGAATTTAAACTGTTTAGTGATACATTGTAAGACAACACAACTTTATTGAAAATTTTTGGATTAATTTTTTATAATTTTTAAATAGTTTTGCACATGTTTTTCTATCTTATTTATATTGAAAACATATAAAACTTTTAATAGGGTGTTGCATGCCATATTGCATTGTTCTATATCCTTACTAGGCAAATTTGAAAATGTTAACTTATTATTCCGATCAACCAATCATTTATTTAGAATTACATGTTGTACGGAATAATTATGTTATTTTTGGTAATTTCAAAATAGCATATAAAAATATTGACTAAGAAATGGAACATGCTCTAAATAAAAAACAAGGTATTTTTTTGCTTAATTAGAGTTATAATTTTGCTAATTTTTTATTGGAAAAATTATAACTCTAATTAAGCAAAAAAGGATTTTATGCAAGGATGCATAAAAAACAGAATAATTTATTATTTATGCACTCTGAATAATCAAATAAAAAAAGTAACGGAGTTAGAGTTCTTTAGAACCGCTTGGTGTTACACCTTTTCGTAGGTCACCCCATGGTGGAGTATCTAGGAAACGTAAAGCTGATACGAGTAATTTTGTTTCCAAAACTCGCACTAGTATACGAGTTTTGGAAACAAAATATAAGGAAAATACAACGTCAGTCAGGTAAAACTTATACAAATTAATAAAGTAAACAAGTGCCAGAAAGATCTATCGTAACACTAAAAAGTTGCAGAAATTGTAAATTCAAATGCTCTACTAATATAACTGAGATCGAGCGTCGAGTTATATTTGATAACTTTTGGACCTTAGATGATGACGGTAAAAAAACATTTCTATTGAAAAACTATTCAAAATCTGGAGAAAAAACGCTGTCGGACAGCTGCTGGTTGTCGGACAGCTGCTGGTGAAAGTTCGAGAAGAAAAATGTCTTATTATTATAACTTCTTTGTTTCTAATACACAATATAAAGTTTGTAAATCCTACTATCTTTCAACATTGAATATTAGTAGCCAAAGAATTTTTCACTTTCACAAATTTTATAAGCTTAACTACTGGAACGCCAATCCAATCAAAATTTGGAAGACATATAAAAAAAAGCTGCAAGATTCTAAAAAGGTTATACGAGACCATATAAAACTATTTTCCAAGAATTGAGGCTCAGAAATATTTTTTCCCCTTGGACTAGAAAGAGCTATTCAAAATGTAAACCGTAAAAAACCGTTCTCTGTTTACCAAATGCAATTAGTAGATAAGAATTTTTCAATTGGTGCTGGATTGTCAAGTTATAAGTTAGTGCCTTATACAAGAGTTAAAATCTTGTTTATCAAAATAGACTGCTATACCATGTTTTTTTTTTAAAAACTTGTTTTCAGATAATTATTCACAAGATCGTATTATTAAGTTTGTTAAATTCGCAGCATCAAGCATTATTGTCAAACCATTAAAGACAAATCTACCAATTGCAGCTTGTTGACGTGCTCCTTATAATCCTAGCCAATGATAACATTTCCATGTATTCATAAATCCCTGCTGCTGATATTGCATTTTACAAACCATTAAAAAGTGAAATTTTTTTTATAAGACTTTCTCTGTTATTTATTTAGTATTGATATATAAAATATAAAACTGTTATTATTTTGAAATCTTGATAAAATTTCTTGTTTAGCTTATTAGTTATAATAGTTTTTAATAAATAGTTAAACTCTTGTTATGGAAATACAGGTATAAGAAAAATAAAATCAAGTTCATCTTGCATGTTGTTTGTAACTAGATTAGTTTAATTGTTGTGTTAATATCTGTAATAGGGGAGACCGGGGAAAGTTATCCCACGGGGTAGGTTGGCCTATTCGAGTTTATTCAAAGGCTAGACGCTTTAATAAGTTGGGAATTTTAGTGAAGGTTGGTAGTAGTTCAATCCTTTTTTCAAAAAAAAATCATATTTATTGGGCCATATTTGAGTGTGTGAAGCCGTTTTAACAATTTTTGATACATCAAAGTAAGTTTTGAGTATTTTGTTTAACGCGTTTATGCACGCTGACGTTTGACAGCACAGCATTATTCAAGTGCCGTCTTTAAAGCATATAATTTAAGGATTATTTTAGTATATAATGTTCCACAAAATTAACTGATGATTTAAGGAGAAAGTTTTTCATATTTTAAACATGACAATAGGGCAGACTAGCCTGATGCCGATCTGCCCCATTGTCATGTTTAGAAAACCGGGGCACTTCGGCCATAAGGCCAACTTGTAAAAAATATCAGATCAGAAATAAGCTTCATAAACAAAATGACACTTGTTTCTATCCGTTTTTTTTGGGTTTTATACGTCGATAAAGAGAAAATATCACTCGTATACATAATATTTAAATTCGGATAAACAATCTTATTATAAAATGTAATTTTAACTTATACTTACATATATGTTTAAACTTAAATATTGTATATATTTATATATTATTATATATGTTATTTAACTTATAATATAACTTATATATTTAAATTTAATTGATATTAAAACTTTTACATACTAGTTATACTTAGATATATAAATTTAATAATTTATACATAATACTCTTAACTTTATACATAATACACTTACTTTTCATGCTTAACTCTTTAATTTATATATGATATATACATATGAATGCTATGAGTTATGTAAATTATTAATAATTAAAAGTAAATAAGTATTTAGTGTTTTAACAAAGAAAAATATAAAATGTAACTTTTTAAATATATAAGCACGCAGGTATATAAATAATTAGATAAAAAAGAAATAGTTATATCTAAAACATTGTAATAAAGTAATTTTTTTTTTTCTTTTTTTTTTTAGACTTACCTAAAAATGGTACGAAATTATATTTGCAAGTCACAACGTGGAAAAGTGTCAGAAGAAGCAATGTTATTGGCAGTGATACAAGTTACAAAATATAAAAGATTAGTTAGAGCAGTTAATAGAGAATTCAATATACCACGTAAGACTCTAAAAAGATATAGTATTATATTCAAAAGGTTGCCATCTACATCTAATGCTTCGGTTCAAACTAAAGCAGAACTTGTGATTTTTTTAAATCCTAACAATGATAACACACTTGAGTTTGTTGTTACTGCAACAGTATATAAGCCTAATGCAGAACATACACCTGATAACGCAACCATAGGGAGAGATTTACTATCACCTAAATTAGATAAAAAAAACCTGGCACAAGTTTGGTTATGCCAAAAGATTTCAAGTATTTCTATTTTCTCTAACTAATTTGAATATAATTTAGTACTGTAGCTGATTTAAATATTTAATATGATACTTC